CGGTGTAATGTAAACCCGGTGTTTCCCACTCTCGGAAAGTATGCCGGATGATAGCTGGGACTAGAATTGGAATGAAGCTATGAGCCACAGATATTGCCTGGGAAGAAGTCAATGTTGAGCACGTAATGCGCAGGAAGTATGTACGCTAGACGTAGTATTCTCCATTTTAATGGATGCTTTTTGCTGCTGAAATGGAGTGTATGAAAAAGGTTTAAGACATTAAGGAGTTAATAAATAATACTTATGGTTGATTTATCAAAGGTTTCAAATTTTTGGTTCAGTTATAGATGCACTGATTATTAATCTTTGTACGTTAAAAATTATTAAGATATTAAATCTAAATCTACATTCAATTTTTAAAAGATTCATCATTTAACACATCTGTAGTAGGAAATGGATGTTTTAACCCTTTTTACTCATTAGTAAACTGCACCTTTTTATTCAAGACAAATTATTTTGCTTCTACGCGGAATCGAATTCCAAACCGAATATATTTGTTTTAAGAAAATTTCCGACAATTATACCTAATTCGCCAAGCCCTTTTCCTTTCTTCTTAAATGTACATGTCTCAAATGTCGTCCGTTAATCCTCATCAAAACGCATTTAGCAAATAAGTGAACCGCGAACTCGCATTTTCGTTTCCTCAATAGTTTTGGTCGGGAAGTGGGTGAAAGTATACTCTCTATATTTATGCGATTTCCTCGCCGCCCGTCCAAATACGGCAGACAAATGGTCATATCGTAAGCGATCGGCCAATATCTTGCGGAACAGATCTTGCTCAGATCTATTCTGAAAATATTTCCGCCTAATTGTGTCTTGCTGAGTGTAAGATGCCACCCGCATGAAGCGCAACAATTGCTCGAAAGGATATTGCGGAACGTATCGGCTGAATGTACGGCCAGCATAAGGTAATGTAGCAGTAAGAGTATTGAGATTGGCATGGCACGGACGTCAGCACGTCGGTTGTCGCGTGAGTTGCTTTAGCGGACACTTACGAACGCGGGCATAGAAGACGCAGTAGCAGATTCTATTACATTATGCCTCCCTAGGCGAATACTTCTTTTGCGCCCACCTCCGGCTTAATTTTTTGAATTTTACTTTAAATGTTACACCAGGCGCAATATAGTACATTACTAAGTTAAAATAATTCTATTGTTTTCTTCGAAAACGGTTTCCTAAGCCATAGGAATTGAATAATCGCATGTATTTATAATGTTAAATAATTGCTATTCGTCGAACTTTGTTGGTCGTTGCAATTATTATGTTGATATTACAATGCTATTTGAAGTAAAGATATACTTTTCTGTGCGTTAAAATGAAAAGCGAATTTAATCTAATTTCGGCCCGTTAGTTTGGATGGGTTTTCGTAGTTTTTGACACGCTTAAACAAAAACGTTTTGGCGACAATTTGGACAGTATAACGTGTTAACGTATATGATGCGACAGGCCATACACAAGTATTTGCAAACAAAGTGTAAAGGCTAGTCTCTTCGCAAGAAGCTGGCAATCACAGGTGAATTTTTCTTCCAAAGCTTAAAACCAGAATATGCTTTTTTCTAGCATCATGAATAGGCAAACCTAGGCACGTTCTCCAAGGGACAAATTTTAATTTAACATTCAATACCACATAATTATTTTTCTAAAATGTTGCCCTATAGCACGAGTCAAGGTTTGCTATCTGTAAATCGCTCTGCCAGCGGTGGTCGTCGAATGCAAAGACCCCTTATTCCAGTATAGCAGGTACTTCTTTTCGAAGTCCCTACAAGCGAAGAGAATGATGGATAATCGTGACTGGAATCCATAATGTGGTTGTGAGCAGCTCATCTGCAACACACGTAACGCGGGTTTATCAAATCAATTTGGCGGGGCATGTCCCGATGAAAGCAAAGGGACAAGGAGCAGGAGAACGCCCTTCTGAAGATGTTTGATGCAGTTCCTACAATGCAGACAGTCGTTGGAGAGCATGTCAGTTCGGACTCAAGGCGGCCTCCGAAAACAGTAGATTCGCATATCCCAAGAGAAGAAAGACAGGCGGCGCGGTGGGTGTGGACACTAGTGTGCTACACTTGGCACCAGACGTCTCGAATTTATGACGGTTCAATAATGTATTATTATACTTGCACCTATTCGTTAGTACTATTCATTGGTTATCACTCCATTGCTACTAATGTAGTATGTATGTCATCTTCTATCGTCCAGACAATACAACAAAAATTTACCTCGGAGTGCACTAATCGTTTATCAAAGCAGGGACACATTACGTGTGCCTGGGTGTGGTAACTATCTGCAGGTTGCTAATCCATATAGCTGTCTATGTACGCATCAAGTAGAACTCCAAAAATTAAATTTTCAACTATTGAATAAGTTTTTTACTCTTCTCGCCCTACTTCTATGATGAAGAGAAAGTGTGTGAATTCCAAATTTCATATTTCGTGGGATCTTTTTGACACCTAAAAATTTGACCGACAGGTCCGTCGTATGTGGTCCAAGCGCTGGCCCCAAAATTGTATCTCCCCCCATCTGATTTAATGGGAACTTCCGACCCCGCCAGTTTTTAAAAACGATATTTCTACATTGTTGCAAGTACTTTAGAATGAAGCTTCATACATTTTCAAAATTAAGCCATGAGATTTTTGCTCTTAAACAAATTGTTGAAGAATATCTTAATAAACCGGTCATGTACATTTTTTTCTTTGAAAACACGATCGAGATTTGCGAGTTTCCTGCTTGCAGTTAATGCAATTCTAAAAATATTTTCTCAAAACCGTCAAAGATGTTTCTTTAAATTTTTCACAATTAAACTATGGTATACGTTAAAAGAATCGGCAGGTCTAATTTCGTTAAACTTATGAATTGTTTCGAATGATTGGCAAATCCTGAATAATACAGAAAGTATGTTGCTGTTGAGCACACTAAGTTTATTAAACCCCCAATACAATTAAAGATTAGAGAACATATTCATCATTGGTGATTGCCAATTAGACGAATGATTGCATTAGCAGTGGAGCGCATGCAAACGCATTTTTTTCAGCAGTCGTTGAGATTTATAGTAATAAATTCCAAAATTCCCAATTTTAAGCTGGATGGGGGACGGATCTGAATGTTCATTATGAAAAATAGGTACAGATTAGTCTGTCAAAAATATGGACCGCTAACCCTTCATAAATCCACATATTAATTAGACAGACTAAAAAGGTGAATACGAAACATATAATTGTGAACTAAATTGGCACAAAAGTAAATATTAATCAACGTGAAGAGACCAAGTTAAAATTACATTTTTGAATTGGTTTAAAACAAGAATATAGCAATGATTGGAATGTTACAGGTTAGTGTATTTGCGTTGAATCTCAAAATTAATTTTCCGCAGCATTATTATAACTTTCTTTATATTACTATAATATCCTATAAACATATGTGTAAGGGAACGGCACTTGCATTGCATTACATTTTTTTCCCCCATATAATTATGTATTTATTTAACATTGGGAAGTGGGAGTAGGAATATGACTTGATGACTCTTATTGTTTTCTCAAGGTTAAAGATTTTTAATGCTTAACAATCCAATAAATATGCTTGATTTATGCTTATTATTCCTTATATAATAAATGATGCCTTTTGCTTTAAAGGAATAACAACAATATTTTTTTTGAATGACACAAAATGAATTCATAAAAGCAAAAAACTGCAACAATCATGAGAAAGAAGAACTACAGAAATTTCCAGCGACTAGAAGATGGGTTTCATGAGACAAACTCATTATAAACAAAGCCTGACAGCTCTCTAAATTTCAATGAATCCCGATCTACAGAAAACCTCACAGCAATTATTGCTCATAAACATAGCCCTGTTACAAGATATTATGAACTACTTCCCTTGGTCAAGAGAAATTCAGAAAACCTATATGGAATGGCTACATTCAAATCTTTAACAGAGCTCTAAATCTTGCTTTTTCCTATAACACTCAGGTCAGCCTTCAACATTGAGACACTTCGAACAATGTACTTTGAATGTACACTGCACACCTAAAATATGGAATAATTAATCGGGGAATGCCCTGAAAGCATCCCGCACATTTATTATCGCAAAAAATATTATTGCGAAAATGACCACAAATTTATAGAGCTGGAAGTCTTTTGCAAACGCTTGTTCAATAACTAAGATTCTTCTCACATGCATGTATATATTAGAATAGGTGGTCTCACAAAGAAAATTCTCCATGGGAAAACAAAGACACTTTTAACTTTAAGTTCGATGTCACTTACACTCGTCAAAAGGATAACTTATATGTTCCCCATGATTGAAACTACACTTCTCAAAAAAGTACCTAATAAGAGGGCATTAACACTTAAACACAAGATAGGCCAATGATAT